CAGTTAGCAGTCAGCTGAAGTGGCTGCAGTACTGCACTCTAACCACTGCACCACCTCGGCTCATATAAGAGAGAGAGAAAAAAAGAGAGAGAATGAGAGAGAGAGAGACAGAGAGGGAAAGCATATGGTGCAGAGGTGGTATTCAGCCAGTTCTGGGGAACCGGTAGCAGAAAATTTGAGTAGTTCAGAGAACCGGCAAATACCACCTCTGGCTGGCCCTGCCCCCTATCTATTCGCTGTTCCGAGTCCCAGCTGATCGGCTGGGTCTTCTTTTGTTGTTCTGCATAGGAGAACAGAGCTGGTGAGGTGTGGAGGGAAAGGGGATTTTGTAGTAACCTTCCCCCAGGAGTGGGGTGGAAATGGAGATTTTGCAGTATTCTTCCCCCAGGTGTGGGAGGGGAATGGGGATTTTGCAGTATTCTTTTCCCAGGTGTGTGTGGGGGAATGGGGATTTTGCAGTATCCTTCCCCCACCACGCCCACCAAGCCACACCCATGGAACCGCTAGTAAAAAAAAATTGAATCCCACCACTGCTTTGGTGGCTGAGGAATTCTGGGAGTTGAAGTCCACATATCTTAAGAAATTGCTAAGGTGGAAAAGCCCTGTTTTAAAGGATTGCTATCCAATCTGTAGAGACTTCTGAATTCATAACTGGTAGGTAACAAATACAATTAGGAGTCTGTTTACAAACTCTTCACTATTCAGCCCTATTCAGAGATGGCTGAATTAGCTTTTACTCCAAGCTCAAGAGATAGTAAGGGTTATAGAAACTAGGTTTTTTCAGATGCTACTGAATACAGTAGTGCTTGGTGGCCCAGCAGGAAATCCAACCACAGAACCTTAAATTTTATGTCAGCTGCTCTGGCTACTGGCAAGTTTCCAGCTCTAATTTAGACCGTCTTAATCTTGATTGGGTGGAAACCTTTGTTCCTTTGTTTTGATTAGAAGAACCATCTTTCCCCATATATCAGGTGGGGGAAATATGGGAGTTCTCCACACTTCTTCAAGTTGCTAAAGTTGAGCAACGCTGGTTCAAATCTCCTATCTCGAGACAGTCTGTTGCAATGCAATATTTCCTTAATCATTAACAGCTTTGACCTCAATTGCTAGTTCGTTTCAAGCCTGCTACGTTGCATGAATATTTATTTTATTTTATCAATTATGGTTGTTAAGACCCCATTTCTTGGTTCCTTGGACAGTTGCTGTTGAGCTCCCCAAATTTCCTCCCCTTCATGTTGGATTAAAAAGAAAAAACCTCACTGACCTCTACAGTTTCCTGAAATAAATTATGTTGTCAGCTTTTCTAAGTTTTCTGCCACAAAAAATAGCAACAGCAACAAAAAAAAGGAGACAATTTTCAAAATAATAATGATACACATGATGGACAACTTTAAGCAAATGTGTTCTTCATAAGACCTTTCATATGTCTGGCAAAACATGTTGCTGTCTATAATCTGCAGAGAGCATTTCATAAAAAAACACATTTCCCCAGCTGCAACAATACTTTTTAAAAGCAGCCACATTGTTCCAAATCTTGACGGTATGATCTGCCTTGGACCAAGTAATTTTGAAGCTTTCTGCGTATTCTTAATGTAATTGCGTTTTTTCTTTTAAAAAAAACAACCAACAACCTCATGTGGCATTTTATAAACCAATGATGGATAACCTTTTTGGTGCCAAGTGTCGAAAGTGGCAAGCGTGTGCAACAGCCAAATGCAATGCAAACGCCCCCCGTGCATGTGCCCAGCCTCACTGCCTGCGCATACCCCTGCCTGCGCATCCCCCCTGCCTGCGCATCCCCCCTGCCTGCGCA